GAAGCATTCTGACCAAAACATTTGATCGAAGCCATCTGATGGAAGCATTTGAAGGTCTGTGCACATCTCCCAAACATCTTGGCTTCCCCTGGACAAGGCGACCCTGGGCTAGGCACACAGGTGGAAACAGAGTCACTATCCAGCCCAGGCCTGGCCTGGCTCCCCTGACTGCCTAGCCTCCATATTGGCCTGGCAAGAAACTCTGCCACTTGGAGGCAGTGCCAGAAAAGAGATGCTCAGGGAGCAAGCTGAAATGACCAACTCAGGTGCAGGTGGGCGGCTGCTGGGATGCCCTGACCAGCCATACCTTCAAGGTGGGCACCTCACAGTAACAGAGGTGGGCAGCCTCCGGGCCTAGCTGCATGCATTCCCCCAGCAGCCTCTGTTCCACCTCCATCAACAGGTGAAGCCAGCACCGGGCCATGGAGAGACCAGGCCCTGGACAATCACCTAACTGGACAAGGGGCCACCTGGCAGGCAGGCTGGCTGCTATTGAGTGGGGCCCAATGCAAGTGGATCTGCTGGGGAATCAAGGTGGGTGCCCACCTCCTGAAAGAGAAAACAGCCTCATTAAGTTGCAGAGTCCGCAAACCCAGAAAATCCTGAACGTGGGCGCACGTGCTCTGGCCTGGGCCGCCTGCATCTCCAGCCTGTCTCCTCCATGTTTCTCCTTCACAGCAGCTTCACCTTGGGCTGGAAGCAGCCCCTCCTTTTTGCAATTATTTGACAAATGCCCATCTCCCTCACTTAAGGGGACTTGAGAGTGTTCTTTCATTGCCATTCTATCCCCACAGAACCTAGTACATAGTAGGGTCTCAAAAATTATTTGAGGAATGGGCCAGCCCGTGGCTCACTCGGGAGAGTGCGGTGCTGATAACACCAAGGCCACGGGTTCGGATCCTATATAGGGATGGCGGGTTTGCTCACTGGCTGAGCGTGGTGTTGACAACACCAAGCCAAGGGTTGAGATCCCCTTACCAGTCATCTTTTAAAAAAAAAAATTATTTGAGGAACAAATGAATGAATAAACTCAAAGAAGCCACAGCAATCCCCCTGCGATCTGAAAAACCTGTCTGTGCCAGCCCTCTTGTCTCTGCCAGGCTCTCAAAGTTGTCATCACATCCGGGGCTGCAAGTTTTAAGAGGGAAAGTTGCTTTGTCTCCTTCCAGTCCAGAATTCTTCTACTTCCCTCCAACACTGAACTCCCACTTCTAAATGCCTGCGACCCCTGGGTGTTCACTGTGCAAGTGACCAGAGCAAAGTTCAGCTAACTAAAGCAGCCTCGATCTGCCTCCACATCTAGCTGGAACCAATCAGAGTTCACTTTTTATGTTTTTTAACCACCAAACTGAACTCTGCTTGCTTTAAATATGGGCTCCATTCCCTGGCCTCTTTTCCCCTCTAGGGACACCCTTCCTGGCCCAGGCTGGAGGAAGAGTAGGTGTTTCTGCATCTGCCCTTTCATTCTTGAAATTTTTTTTTTTTTTTTTTTTTGGCTTTCCTACACTCTGTTCCTAATCTCTGAAGGGACATGACCAGGTGGGCCTCGGTGCTTGTCATTTCCATGACCACAGGTGGCAGAAGTCCCAGATACAGGGATCTGTACAGGTGGGCCTCGATGTCCCACCCAATGGCCAGTCAGAAATGCTGGGAAGAAAAGTTTGATGTAAGATCAAAGTGGCACCCAAAAAGGTGAACATCTAGGAGAATCCAGGGCAAGCCACTAGAAGCACGTGGGCCAAGGAAGAGCTGGGGACGGCNCTTGACTACACTTTAAATATTTAGAATATTAATCAACACAATAGTACTTGGCATTGAGGACTGCTCCCCCTCCTCCCCAATCAATAACTGCGTTTATACCCTTCAGCTGATCTCCGACAACGATGATCAATTGAAAATAATCATTTTTAATCTGCAATATTAACAACTGAATCTTCTACAGATTGTCTTAAGGCAACTGAGTAAACCCAAACCCAACTGTTACAACTTCAGAAAGTGTCCAGAAGACAAATAATATATGATGATATATGTATACGACATAATATGTTGTACAAAGCCAAGGCAACCAGACACAACCTTTTCCAAATGGGCCAAATGAAAAGGATCCTCGAGTATCCAGGCTCCTTCCTGGAACTTCTCAGACACATTTTTCTCTCATCCCACAGACATATCTAAACTGAGCTTCTAAAGTAGCAAAGCAAAAGGTCTTCTAAGATCTACTTGTGCAGTAGAAGGTCAAGGCTGAACTCACTGTCAACCAAAGCTATAGGACAGATGGATGGGGGGACACACTCTCCGACTCAGCAGCACCAGGGCCTACACCACAGCTGCCCTCAGCCCGCTTCCAGCTGTTAAAAACTCTTTTCCATCTATATAACTCAATTACCTTCCTAATCACCTCTGACACCAAAGCACAACTCCTGCAATGGAGTTACTGGTCTAAGGCTCAAAGCAGTTGCCGATATTCGACTAACAGACAAGCAAAGTGTGAACCCTACAGACAGCAAACACAGCCACCTGGAAATAGGAAGGGTCTCCTAATGCCTAGATGTTCTCAATTGTGGCAACTGGCTGAGCCAGCCCAGAGCACTGGGGAGACCCACGTTCCCAGCCCTGTGGGGATGATGACAGTAACACGCACTGGGTGTTGATTAGATGCCAGGCCCCATGCTAATTGCTCTTTATGTCCAGGTCAAACTTAAACCTCCTAACAACCTTTTGAGTCAGAAGGCTTTTGAGGATATTGATATTCATTGAATATTAATGAACACACCCCAAAGAGCACCTTACCAAATCCTCAGGTGACAGAAAGGGAAACGGAGGTCCAGGGCCTTATATGCTTTTCCACAGCTTCCTCTTTCTGTGGTTACGCACCTTCCTCTAAACCATTTATGTTTTTTTAATGTCTCACAACTCTGGATGCAAACCTCATGGAAACTAGAAACCCCAAAAAAATGCACAAAAGGACATTCGCAAAATACTCCCTACAATTTCAGGGACTTCATGCACCTCAGCCCCTAACCCCTAAGTGCATCCGCAGATCCCAAGTTGGGAAGACCTGCTTTCAACAATACTCACATCGTGAGATGTAAATTCGAACACAAAGGACCTTCTGGGGGACCTCCTCCCCTTCCATGGTTTCTTCCCTCTGTGCCTCACTGTCTCTCCCTGCTTGTACACACATATTTTAAACTTCCTGCAATAATTAAATATGGTAAAAGAAATCCTCCAGGAGCATTTTACACTTTATGTTGAAATAAATTCACAATAATGATGCCCTGAAAATCCAAATGAAAAATGACATTTTTTCCTAACCTGGATCCTGTTTTTTCCTGAAGCCCACACTGCAGGAAATCCCAGCACAGCTTCCTCAGCTGTTGCTGAGGTGCGCACTCAAGGGAAAGCCAACAATTAGGGAAACATCCATTTTAATTATTAGCAAAATTAAAGAAGTACAGGCATGACTTTCAGAAATAAAGCTTTTCCCTCACATTAAGCCCTTTAAAAATGCATCACCATTGCAAATTACATTCACCTTGATGTCACAGCCCAAGTCACTAAGAGGCAGTTCCATAATCTGTCTGTAGCTCTAGCCTATACAAGCCTCAGACACAAACTCCTACCAGATTCCCTTCCCAGAGACTCAGCAGTACAATGTCACCACACCTGTTAATTATAAAACCGCCATACCTCTGTGTAACAAAAAGTTCCCCAGTCTCACACGATTGCTGCTTTGGATAAGTGCTTCAGTCCTTATCCTTTAATGACGCGTGCACAGGGTCTTATTGCGGAGTGCATGATGGGAACACAGCCCTGCTTCCCCGACCGTCCTGGCTGGCTGGGCCTTCTGTCCTCGCCCAGCCTACCCCTCCGGGTGAGCAATCTGCTCATTCACCCCACGCACAGGATGTGTTCCCAGAGCAGCTCAGCTGACCCCAGACGCCACTCAGGATCGTGGCAGGCTCCCAAAGCCAAGCAGGCACCAGGTGGGCTCTCAGCAAACAGGTTCATTAAGTGGCGATGAGTGCTGGGATCTGCCGTTTTATTCTCGGATTACCACTCGAAAAATAACTCAGCTACCAATATTCCCTACTGATGACAGATTTCAATGCTGCACCAAGTAGAGGCTTGGCTAAGGTTGTCTCCAAAGATCTGGGAGAAAGACTCCAAATCTGCCCTGCTGAATAATTTGGCCTCGTGCAGTCCTCACAACCAGCCATGTGCCTTTAAAATTAAATTTCCAAAGCTGAACCACCAATACATGCCCTGTGTGATCTGGAAGTTCTCATAAGCGTGGGCAACCTCCTGGTATATTCACTTTCAAGTTGACCTAAAATAGAATCTGCCACTCTGTGACGCATTGCTTAAGTATTATGAATTACAATGGCTAAAAAAAAATCTAATATGTCAAGCCTCTCAGTGCTGAACTTCAGAACCTTCTTTTCTCCTTAAACAATGAAAATAAAAGGTCAGCATTTCTGACGTTGGCAATTTCCCTTAGTAGTTCCTTTTGTCAGAAAATAGAAATTCTTTACACTGGACACAAGAATCTCCCTCTAGCAAGAACGCCACTGCAGGAGGCTGGCGATGGCATTCATCTTCCCTAGACATGTCCCTTCCGCGGCTGTCCTGGGCACTGGATAAAGGTGAACTGCTGGCTGCCTCCCTCACCCAGCACAGAGAAAGACACACACCAAGAGATCACCAAACTACACCATTCTACCTGCAGTACTGCAGCCAAGTAACCTCTGCCTTGGGGGAGCCCAGAGACCTCTCTCCATCGCTCTTAGGAAACTCATCTATAATGCGAGGGCAGCTGATTCTAACATCAAGTGCCACTTCCCCCAGACAAATCCCAGAACAAACCTGGTACCCTGAAAGTCAAATTAAATAACTTACCTTCCGGCTCTAATGTGGTATCCTCAACTAAATTGAACGAGGGCCGGGCCAGGGACAAGGTTGCCATGGTGACCACGACCAGGCAGATGAAGCGCCCCCAGCTGACCATGGTTCCGGTGCCAATCCCCGGTCCTCTTCCATATCTCCATGTGGACGTTAATCCCATCTGCACACTTCCTCTACGAGCATGGACTGCCAGCAACGCCTGCAGCCTGCGGGGGCTCAGGAACCAGGGCGCTGCTGCGGCTGCTGCGGCTGGTGCGGCTGCTGCGGCTGCTGCGGCTGCTGCGGCTGGTGTCACTGCTGCTGCTGCAGCCACTAAAGGAAAGAGATGGGGCGAATCAGTGACATCTTCCCTAATGCCAATTCACCTAAACCTAAGTGGAATAAGACAGTTTTCCAGCCTCTCAAATGTGTGCAAACAGATTTCTTTTCCTTTATCTACAAAAGGCTTCCATCCTCACCTCAGAGCCCCAGGTGTTTCCACCAGACTGGTCCACAAAACCTGTTAGGCCAAACTTTGAAAAAGCATACTTTTGAGAAACAGAGATAAAACAGTCACTACAGGACTCAGATATGTGCAGCCACTTCAGTGAAGCAAAGTGTGCTTTCTCTTCTACCATCCATTATCACCTCTACCACCCTCAAAAAGCAGAAGCAACATGACCTTAGTTTCAAGGGCAACTATAGGAGCAAGTTAAAAATGCCTGGGTTGGCAGAACCAGCCTCATTAACTTAGTCTAACGGCTTTAGAAAGCTGAACGGTGCAAGCAGGCCTTTATTTCTGCTGGGCTGGAGCTGGGCGGTTTGTCCTACCCTCACTATAGTCCTCAGGAAGAAAGAAGGAAAAGAAGCAAAATCAAAAGAATCCCAGGACGCTGCAAGAAATTCCCACCAGTTTACACTTGTCAGGGTTCATTTTCAAATGCAAAAGTGTATTTCAATCTTTCGCCAAGCAGCCACTTAGGAAGAATGAACGGAACAGCCACACATTCAAAGCAGCTGATCCAAAAGGGATTCAAAGCCTGAATTCCCTTCCACTGTGACTAAAAGGCAGTGCAGGCCTACTAAATGACTTCGACTGATGTGGAGGGGGTTAGGACACGGAGCAGATGCAAACTTTGATGAATAATGCAGTTTATTAATGATGAGGATGATATGTGAATTACTGTCATAGTATGTGATTAGGCCAGTAGTAGAAGTTACAAGGTGGCCTCAATTTACTATTCTGTTCACCCATTTGACCCAAAGTAGAGAGAATTTTCCAAGAAAGTACAAAGAATTCCAAATAACTTCGAATTCTTTCAGTGTCCTCAGTGTTGAGTCAAATGACACAAACTTTAGATAATATGATTAAGACAATCACAAGAAAGGGCACACCAACCTCAGGCTTCAGATTCTGTAACCACATGAATGAACCACGTTTTATACGATTGGGGGTGGAGGTGAGACCTTTACAACAAAAATCTCTAAACCCCAATTTTTTGGCATGCCAACTTGACGTCTCAACGTACGACACAGGATTTCAACACTGCCTATGTCTCCGCAAAGCTATACCATAAAAATTGCTCCTTTTTTAGCCTTGACTGAGGATTAAAATGGGTGAGGGCAACGAGAATGCGGCACCATTTCCGTGGAGGAAAACCTCTGCTTCAAAGAAAGCACAGGTGAGGGCCGGCCCGTGGCTCACTCAAGAGAGTGTGGTGCTGATAACACCAAGGCCGCGGGTTCGGATCCTATAT